CTTTCTTCCCTCCTCTCCCGTTCCCAGTCAGGGGCTGCCCCAACCCTGATACTCCCACCCCCAAGGGCATTTTAGGAGGGGCAGCGTGGCTAGATTTGATAGGGACATTATTCCCCTTTGTTAGAGAGTGAATGGAAAGTGAAGAGTTTGCTACATTCCTCCCTCTTACTGGCGAGCGGAGGGGGCAGATGAGCTGTGTACTTTGTTTGCTCTTGCTCCCAGACAGGAACAGGAAAGGGAAGAGCAAATAGCCCAGGTGCAAATCTCAGGATAGGGGGAGGATTTTGGCCGCCCTGCCTACCCCTCTACGCATACATGCGCACATGCAATCACTTGCCGAGAACCCCTTCTCAGCCTCCTGGCCTGAGCCTCTCCTTAGGGACCTAAGCAGCGCTGGGTGAATGTTCTAGTGTAATCTAAAAAAAAGAAAATAACAGTCAGTAGCAATTGACAACTCTAGTTTTCTCTTACTGCAGCTCTCTGTATCGTATGCTTGGATGATAGATTCTAAACCTAGTTAACTGATTAAACAAGCCACAAGGATTATCTAAGCTAATTTTTTTAACTAGCATCCAACATTGCAAGCAACTTAAATTTACTTGTTAAATCACACTTACAGTAAAAGGCATAGTCTTGAATAATGAGGCATTGAAAAGTGAATTATTTAAGTTACTAACCAGTTGATCCACACTGTTGTTCAGATATATCCATCTCCATCCATATAATTTTCTCCTAATAAACAGTTTTCCTTATGAAATTCCATTCTTGCAAATAGGCCCTGCATCATCTTCTTGCACTTGACACATTTTCTGTTTTTGTCCAGAGAACACATTTCTTCAAAATATTCACCAGATAGGGTCTCATGCCCAGAAGCCTTGACCACTTTTCTGTGCCAGAAATGTGGGGGAATGGGATCTTTGTGTGTGCTGAATATCTTCCTGTTTCCTTTCCAGTTCACTCCACTGTTTCTTTTTATGCTTCCTTTATCCCTTCCTAAAGATTGTCTGTGTCTTTAAGACAATGTCTTAACTAACTCCACTGCCATGCTTGGCTCAGGTCTTCCACCACCACACAAGCACAAAATAAAACCATCTTATCCAGTCTGTGTCTTTGCATATTACTTTGCTATGCTGAGGAACAGAAATTGAAAGCCCAGAATTTTCAGGAAACAAGAGCTGGTAGTTAGGTCAGACAGACTAGAACCATTAATTTGTTTTTATGAGATTATAATGGTAGATGTAGCATGTTTGTGATGAGATTTAATTGTACCTGTTACTTTTAAATGAGACATTTAGTATTTTATTCATGATTTAGAAAAAAAATAAAAAAATCCAATTTAAATAAACCATAGAAGACTCTTAAATTATATTGTCTTATTTCCTCGTAAGAATGGAATGCTGTAGGATTTATTTTATTTTATTCATGAAGAAGCCAAGATTGCAGTCTGGGGTGGAATTCTCTAATTTTATTAATAGAATCTCTAGTTCTAAACATTTGAAAAGACTAGTTAGTTTCTGTTTTTTTTTTTTTTAAAAAAAAAAGCATTTTAACCATTTTAGTGACCCTGTAGATTGCATGCTAGTAAACTGGCCTTTTTTCCCCTCTACTGAAAAATCATATCTATAACTGGTGTAGTCCAACATTCCTAAAACCAATTTAATACAATATTGATGCAATCTCACTGGCTTTTCCTCCACGTGGTTACTTTTTACATACTGTTATTTATTATTTAGTGTATTACCATTTATTCCCTTAAAAACTACCTAGTTCACTGTAATGTAGAAGTTATAAGGATCCACATGTAAAATCATGGCTCAAAATAGGAAACTCCTTTCTATGGAATGTAATGAGTGCACTGCTCTACAGCCAAAATGCTTCAAACTTTACTAATTCTGGGTAACTGAGAACAAAAATGATGCTTAAAATTGTTGATTGGCTCTAGTTTTCAAGATATGCTATTGGGTCAGTATATACGACCCTTGACTTGCGAATGGCGGAGGATAAGTGAGTTATAAAGGGAAGGGATCTCAATTTAAACCAGAAATGACTAAAATACATCTTTGACTGGATCTATGAATAAATCTATGACTGGGTTTGGACAGTACTTGCTTTTTAGGCAAAACAATGAATGATGCAATCTGAAGCTCGTATTGCGTCATACATCATATGAATTGCATCATGTTATTCCTAGAAGTCATGGATGTTTTGCTGCATAATGGCAATGTTTTGCCATCAATTCCGGTTGGTCATTCAGTCCATATGAAGGAAACCTATGACAACATGAAACAACTTTTGAGGTGCATAAACTATGACCAACAACAGTGGCAGCTTTGTGGCGATTTGAAGGTTGTTGCTCTCTTGCTTGGTCTGCAGACTGGATACACAAAGTACTGCTGTTTTCTCTGCGAATGGGATAGTCGTGCAAGAGATTCCCACTACATCAAGATAGATTGGCCACTCCGACAGTCATTGGAGCCTGGGAGGGAAAGTGTTCAGCATCCACCACTTGTTGAATCAAGGAAGATTTTGTTACCACCCTTACACATCAAGCTGGGTCTGATGAAGAACTTTGTCAAGGCCATGGACAAAACACAAGCAGCTTTCAAGTACCTCTGTGGAAAATTTCCAAGGTTAAGTGAAGCTAAGATAAAGTAAGGTGTCTTTGTTGGTCCTCAGATTCGTGAACTTCTTCGAGATGATGCATTTGACCATGCACTGCGTGGCAAGGAAAAGACGGCATGGAAAGCCTTCCAGTTAGTGGCAATAAATTTTCTTGGAAACAACAAGGCAGACAACTACAGGTTGTTGGTGGAAAACCTCCTCAAGGCATACAAAAGCCTTGGTTGCGACATGTCACTAAAAATACATTTTTTGCACTCTCCTCTAGATTTTTTTTCCACTGAACTGCGGAGCAGTGAGCGACGAGCACTGCGAGCGTTTTCACCAGGATATTGCAACTATGGAGAAACGGTATCAGGGCAAATGGAGCCCATCAGTGCTTGCAGACTATTGCTGGACAGTGACAAGAGATGCTCCATTTAATGAGTACAAGAGACAAGCCAAGAATTGCCGAGTAGACACTGAATAGGACTAAACTATGTACATAATAGTTTTTTGCTTTTTGTTTCATAATAAATTTTATTTATATAACCCTTTTGCTGATTTGTAAAGTGTTACATAAACAGAACAGGTGAAATATTATCATGTAAAGCAACCATAAACACATAAAAAGACCCAGGTTTACAATTCATGATTAAAACTCTATTATCTACACAATATACATAGACGTAAAATGTCAAAACTTAAATATCTTGGAAACAGTAGCCAATCAGTTGTTTTAATTGTCATATTTGAATTCAGCACATCAAAATACATAATAAATAGCACATTTTATCTCTGAAGCAGACGACTTCTAATAAATTGTAGACCAATGCTATGGAAGAGCTTCACGCATTCAACAATAATTATTACACCTGTGTATTGTTGGACATAAGGTCGTTGTATTTATTTGCTTTCCTTTGATCACTGTTGTAGATGCAATGTATAACACATGTTGTATTTAACAACAGATTGGCAAATTGTTAGGTTCCATGTTGCTTGGTGAAATGTTTATCTAAATATTCTTACGTAGAGCTGTCTTTATTCCTGTCAAGGTTGTTCTCCATTCTAACACTCCCAAGTGCCTGCAAGAAACTTTAGAATGCCTTGTCTTTATGGGCTTCTGCTTAAAATGTCCCCAAGATCACAGATTCTCTGGCCTTGGAAGGTAGCTGCCACCACCAAGTGGGAAAAAAACAACAACAACAAACCTTTCTTTTTGAACCCAGGAAGAGAGAGCACTTAGTCTTCATCCAAAGGGGTACTTTCAAGCTCTTTTACCACAAGTGAGTTTGGAATAAAAATGAGAAAACAAATTGCAATTTCTGATAGCTGACCTCTGAGTCTTAGGCATGCATACACAGACCTCCTATTATCTTCCAGGATGTAAGAATCATCGCCTTAAACTTGATTTTAACAACTAAACAAAAAGTTATACTTGGTTGCTTAGGTGTTACAGAGCAACTGAGAAAAGAACAGATTAAAACACAGAAATTGTATCTCTGGAATACAGCTTAAGATGCAGTGTGTGGGGGGGTGGGGGGTGCGGGAAGGGGGGCACATTGACTTAACATAGACAAGTTTAACCAAACAACAAAACAAAGAAAATAACCTGATTGTGACTAAATAGACGTTTCCCTGTCTACTTACAATCTGAGTTTCAAGATCCAGTCCATTTCCATGCCCAGTATTCTTTATGGCATGGTAGTTCTGCCTGGTTCAATTCATTTTCTCCCAACTCTTGGCTTTAAAACTCACACAAAGAAAAACAGCAGGCAGGTATATCTTTCCATTCAAATCTCAACACCTTTTCCCATCTGCTCCCTGCCAATACCCTCTAAATACCTGCCAACACCCTTTAGTCACCGAATGCTGGCCAGCACTATTCCTACCCATCACAGTTCTCCATCCAAAATATACTAGGTGCCTTAATTCCATACCATTAGAAATAACTACCTAGTACAGATTGAACCTCTCTTGTCCCTGACTCTGGTCCAGCAACACTGCTGGATCAGAGAGAACCTGGACCAGAGAGTTTGGTGGCTACAAGTAGTCCTGGAACAATGGAGCCGGAGCAGCCTCCGGCCAGGGGAGCTCCAACAGCCCCAGGATAAGGGAGCACTGGCACCTCAGGCAGCGGAAATACAGCATCCCTGGCAGCACCAGTGCTCTGGAGCCATGGAAGCTCCTGTGGCCTCTAGACAGCAGAGCCCTGTTGACTTTGGGGAGCTGAGCCCCGATTGCCACAGCACTCCCAATGTCCCAAGGCATGTTCGTATTATAAGTTGTATTTTTCATAACAAAAATGAACTGTTATGTTCACTAGAATTAGATTTCAGAAACATGTGTACCTAATTAACTAATATTGGATTTTTGTGTGTGTGTTTTCTTTCTTGCATTAGTATCTGAAGTCCATGTGCTACAAAATATTTCTTCAGATATTTTACCGGAGCATTCTCTGCCTTCTGCTTGCCCTGTCCCTTCTGATCCATTCATCTCATCAGGTGATAGCATACAGGCAGCTGTTCAAACAGTCAACTGTGTTTTAAACCCCGCTGTTGTTAAAGAACAGGTAAACACTGTATTTTTTATTAAAGGAAGTTGATGTGTATTATTCTTTGGCATTATCTTTTTTTCTGATGATAAAATTAGAGATTTTTTTCTCAAGTTGACTCTTGAGTAGATTCTACCATTTGACTTACAGAACAAAGATTTCAGTTACCTGCCTGTGAATATTAACTGTGAAGATGAGTATTTTTGAATCCTTTGAGATGGCAGAATATAATTACGTTACAAAGTAATGAAGGTTTTGCATGTATATTTCAGATAACACTGTACTTTATATCCACATTAAAATGCTTATCAACCTCAAAATAGTAATTTCAATACAATAATGCTCTTTTTCTATAATGATTTTTAAAGTAATATGTGAACTTATGGTTCCTAATTAAGCTATGAATATTAAAATGTGGTCAGTTTTCAGCACATATGTAAGTGCTTTGCTTAACTGGGACCATAATGCTGAAATGCATGACGCATTTGCAGCAACATACCTTGGAAACTGCTAAATTGCTGATAGATACCAAAAAATTCAAAAGTAATCATTACTTAAAATTGTCTTTTCTAGCATCCTTAGAATTAGATGATCACCATAAGATTGATGAGCCCCCTCTCTCAAAATGAAAAGTATCTTACTCCCCAAGTGTTCCCACCAACTTCAGTGTGGTTACTCGCTCTGTAAAATACAATCCAAAGTGAATTAGGCGCTAACCATCTGGTTGTTGGTAAATTTTAAATTTAATGTTATTTCAGAAGCAAATGTTTCCGTGTGAGCCCTTCAGACACAGGTCTGCTAACCACCATGGCTGTGTCTACACTGGCATGAATTTCCGGAAATGTTTAAAACGGAATATTATTCCGTTTTCATTTTTTCCGGAAAAGGAGCATCTACATTGGCAGGCTGCTTTTCCGGAAAAGCCCTTTTTCCGGAAAAGCGTATGTGGCCAATGTAGACGCGCTTTTCCGGAAAAGAGCCCCAATCGCCATTTTCGCGATCGGGGCTTTTTTCTGGAAAAGACTACTGGGCTGTCTACACTGGCCCTTTTCCGGAACAGTGTTCCGGAATAAGGACTTATGCCCGAGTGGGAGCAGAATAGTTTTTCCAGAATAGCGGCTGATTTTGTACAGTAGAGCATCGTTGCTTTTCCGGAAATTCAAGGGCCAGTGTAGACAGCTCGCAGCTTATTCCGGAAAAGTGGCTGATTTTCCGGAATAAGTGGCCCAGTGTAGACACAGTCGATATGTATATGTTATGACAAACTGACATTTAACTTCTATTGAAAGTAAAGTTTACATATCTCTTTTATGAAAATATTTCAAAATATGGTCTCATCTCATATTATTTATTACTTTGTCTCTCCTATGAATTTAGGTTCAGTTATCAACTAGTTCTTCCTTGGATACCTCTATTCCTTCTTTGAGTTCAACAGAAGGAAAACCTTCAGAAAATTCAACCATCCCTGTGAGTGACTCTGAGAAGCAGGGGATAAATGGGTCAAAGAAGCATCTTCAAACAATAATTAAAAGTCTAGAGATTGAACTCAAAGTTGCTGATGAAGAAAAATACAGAATTAAAAAGGTATGGCTGCTCTTAAATGCATGCAAAACTTAATTATAGCAGGAGCTGGCAGTAGTTACACATAGTTCAGGTGCTTAATAGTTTCTGTTATGAGACCTTATTTTCAGTTGGTTACAACTTTTCCAAACTTGAGCTGTTCATGCTTAAATTTTCCATGTTGGGGTCTGCCTCAGGCTGTGCTGCTTCTTTTTTTGTTCTTTAATTTAAGCAGCAAGCGGTTCAACTTGTTCTGAGAATTTGATTAGGAAAAGGTGGTGTCTTTCCAGTGTGAAAACATTTACAGTCATTTTGTTGAGATGCTTTAGCACCTCTTACTCTAGAACATAAGAACATAATAACAGCCATACTGGATCACACTAATGGTCCATCTAGCCCAGTATCCTGTCTGTCAACAATGGCCAATGCCAGATGCCCCAGAGGGAGTGAATACAACAGGTAATCATCATGTAATCCCTCTCCTGTCATCCATTTCCAGACAAACAGAGGCTAGGGACACCATTCCTATCCATGCTGGCTAGTAGCCATTGATGGATCTAACCTCCATTTATCTAGCTCTTTTTTGAGTCCTGTTAAACTGCTAGTCTTCACAACATCTTTTGGCAAGGAGTTCCACGGGTGGTGCGCTGTGTGAAGAAAAACTTTTTTGTTTGTTTTAAACCTGCTACCTATTAATTTCATTTGGCGACCCCTATTTCTTATATTATGGGAACAAGTAAATAACTTTTCTTTATTCATTTTTTCCACACTGGTCATGATTTTATAGACCTCTATTATACCCCTCCTCCCCCAGCCTCCTCTTTTCTAAGCTGAAAAGTGCAAGTCTTTTTAATCTCTCTTTATATGGGACCGGTTTCAAACCCCTAATCATTTTTAGTGCCCTTTTCTGAACCTTTTCCAATTTCAATATATCTTTTTTTGAGGTGAGGCAACCACATATGTATGTAATATTCAAGATATGGGTGTACAATGGTTTTATATAGATTTATAAAATATTTTCTGTCTTATTTTCTTTCCTTTTTAAAATTATTCCTTACGTTCTGTTTGCTTTTTTGACTGCCACTGCACATTTAATGGATGTTTTCAGAGAACTATCTACAATGACTCCAAGATCTCTCTCTCGAGTAGTTGTAGCCAAATTAGTCCCCATCATATTGTGTATATATAGTTGGGATTATGTTTTTCAGTGTCCATTACTTTACATTTATCAACATTATATTTCATTTGCCATTTTGTTGCCCAGTCTCTTAGTTTGGTTAGATCTATTTGAAGCTCTTCACAGTCTGCTTTGGTCTTAACTATCTAGAGCAGTTCAGTATCATCTGCAAATTTTGCCACCTCACTGTTTGCCCTATTCTCCAGATCATTTATAAATAAGTTGAATAGGATTTGTCCCAGGCAGACCCTTGGGAGACACCACTAGTTACCTCTCTCCATCTGAACATTTACCATTTATTTCTACCCTTTGTTTCCTGTCTTTTTTTAACAAGTTATCAATCCATTAGAGGACATCCCCTCTTATCCCATGACAACTTACTTTACTTAAGACCCTTTGGTGAGGGACCTTGTCAAAAAGCTTTCTGGGAATAACTACACTACATCCACTGGATCCCTCTTGTCCACATGTTTGTTGACCTTCCCTCCCCCCAAAGAACTCTAGTATATTGGTTAGGCATGATTTACGTTTACAGAAATCATGTTGACTTTTCCCTAACAAATTATGTTCATCTATGTGTCTGACTATTTTATTCTTTACTACAGTCTTAACTAATTTGTCTGGTATTGAGATGTTAAACTTAGTGGTCTTTAATTGCTAGGATCATTTCTAGAACTCCTTTCAAATATTGGCATCACATTAGCTATCTTTCAGTCATTAGGTACAGACGCTGATTTAAAGGCTAGGTTACAAACCACAATTAGTAATTGCACAGTTTCCCATTTAAGTTATTTGAGAACTCGTGGGTGAATGCCATCTGGTCCTGGTGACTTATTATTGTTAAGTTTATCAATTCGTTCCAAAACCTCCTCTAATGACAGCTCAATCTGGGGACAGGTCCTCAGATTTGTCACCTAAAACAGGGACTTGATATTTTGAAACTGGAATTGCCCTGGGTTCAGATAGGAGCCTTTTGCTGTCTCTGTAGAAATCATGTTCAGTACAGGTTGGACCTCTCTGGTCCGGCAGCCTCGGGATCTGACCAGTTCCAAATGAGGGAATTTGCCGGATCGGGGAAGTCTCCTGTTGTTGGACCCTCACTCCACCAGCTGCCCTCACTGGGTTACCAGGCTGCTGCAGCCTTAGCAGCCTGAATTGTCACATCCCCAGCCCTGGCCCCGCTTTGCTACCATGGCTACCGTGTCCCCAACCCTGCTTCTGGAGTTGCCATCGCTCTGGCCCCAGTCCTGGTCCCGTCCCAGCCCTGCCAGGCTCTGAGCTGCCAGCCCTCTTACCACTGGAGCTCCCAGCCAGACCACGGATGTTGCCAAATGAGAGAGTCCTGGTTTTGTGAAGTCCAACCTGTACAACTTTTGTAAGAGACTGGCAGTTCAATTTACATGTAATCTGAAGAATTTAATTAAAAACCAGTTCCCCTCCGTGGGAGGGGACAGGAACACAGCAGCGGTGTTCCACCTTCAAAATGTACAAGAGAGCTTTCTGGGGCTCTTGAACATTCAAAAGCAGAAGCCCACATGGTGCTTGGGTCCATCGGGGGACTCTAAGTCTGCCGCTGACCCCAGGTTTCATGTGGTATTTCAATCTTTGAAATGCACGGAAGCCTCTGCTGGGGCTTGTGTACGTTGCAAAGGTCGAATGTCATGCGGCACTTCCTCCTTTGAAATCTAGCAAGAGCTGGACAGGCGCTTGCTACGTTTCAAAGCGGAAGTGCTCTTATCGACTAATTGAATAGTCAATGGAAATTCCATCGACTATTTGATTAATCTAATTTTAACATCTCTAACTACTACTGAACATGTTCTTGTTCATTTTTGGGAGGTGCTTAATGTGACCTGCAAGTCTCTGCATCAATTGGCAGAGGGGGGCATAAGGGGTACAGGGAATCCCAAGTCTGTGACATGTATGCTAATTTGCCTGAGTGGCATTTGGAGTCTTATGAGATCTGAAATATAGTCTGTTTTTTAGCCAGTGTCCTAAAACCATCAGAAATATAGTTAGCATGGAATAATTTCCTGAAGACTGTACCCACATTTATGAGAAATTTTGTGCAACTTTTTCTATTGTTAGGAGTTAGAAGATTTGATGGAAAGGCATTGTGTCCTACAAACAGATTTCTTGAAAGAAAAGGAAAGTGAATTCATCTCACATCAAGATCACTACAAAAAGCTTCAGGTAATTCTGCTTCTTTTTCTCTCATTGTCCTTCTTTCAAAGATCACGTGTAGTGTATATTTTATATTCCATAAATCTTATATGTACGTGTCCAGGGGCCTGATCAAAGTTCTGTGAGAGAATTTTGATTTATTTTTATGGCCTTTTGGATCAGGCCTGATATTCTGTACTGGTAGGGGGATAGTTTTAATGACCTCACTTCTTTGAACTTAAATGGGTGTACTGGATCAGCTACACCCTAATTTACAATTCTAAGTAAACCCACCTTACCAGAGACTGGAAGAATATTATGTTCCATTTTGTGTGTGTGTGTGTGTGTGTGTGTGTGTGTGTGTGTGTGTGTGTGTGTTATAGCTATTTGATTTCACATATTATAGCGTGTCTATGAATGATTATGTTTAAAGAAGTTAGCTGACTTAAATAGAAACTAGAATAGTTTGAGCTTTGTGTCAGAATCATGTTGATAAAAAATAAGTGCAATTGGGTAATTGTTAGAAAACAGAATAAAAATAATTTTCATCATATCATCAGCATTAAGCCATTGCAATAGATAAATGTCCAAATCCCCTTACACCAGCAAGAAAAGTTAATCTTTCATTTAAAAAGTTTTCAATATAATTTAGTTACTTTAGAAGAGATTTAAAAAACAAAAGCCTTTCAAAAAATTTTCATGATGCTCCAACATGACTTGACTTTTGACATTCCTAAATGTCAATTGTGTTATGTTGTTTTCCATTGTATTTAAGGTTGGCTGCAATAAAATATATCCTTCATCAGGTAGGATTGAATTCTTGACTGCTCTACCTTCAAGCCTTATGGTGATTTTTTTTTTAACCTTTCAGTGCAACCAGCCTACTTAAGTCAGGAATATTTGCATAATGACAGAACTCATTAAACTGGGTCAATTTGCTAACTACATTTTAAAAATAAAGTTTGCTTAAAATCCTTTCTTACTTACAAAGTCATAGTTTATATTGATTATAGGGTTAATCACTACACTGTTCATAAACCCAGACATCTGAATTACTAGGTTTAGTTTTCTAATACTTTGAGAGAGGCTTTCCTTTGATGCATGAATAGTGTTTAGGAAAAGGCTCAGGCTGACAAAAATTGGAGTGTCCATGTGGTACTTTTTCACTGAGTCTGATTCTATGGCTTTCAAGAATGCCAAATGAAAAGGTCAGAGCCTTTATCTTACTTTGAAAAAAGACTCCTTGAGGGTATAGTCTGAATGAAATCAGAAAAGAGAATTGAGTCATACTTTTAGGAGTGGACAGCTAAAATTACTTCCATGAAATTTAAGTATTGGATTCTTTCTGTTAGTACAGCTATTAATGCCGGTTCCTTTTGTCTTCCTCCTTTGGCTTCTTAGCACTTAAGTCAACACCTGTGGCCACACACTAAGTAAACTTGGCCACTGCAAAGTACAGATGTCCAGCTTGCCAACAATTCTTTTTCCAGCAGAAACAGCTGGTTATTAGACTGTTGACTTGTGTAGCTTAAGAACAGACTGTATCAGAGACTATATAATATCCTTGGGAGATTCAGACTAAGCCTATAATGACTGATCCTGTCTTCCCAAACCGTAGTTTTCATATTTACCTCCTCTTATATGAAGTTTGTTTATTCTAATGCAGAAGTGGGGAACGTAAGGCCCGTGTGCCAAATCTGACCCATGAGGCTCCCACCCCCGGCATTGGGGAGCCCACACTGGCGCTCCACCTTCCCTGCCACCTTACACAGGACTGGAGCACACAAAATCTACTAGCGCTTTGGTGTAAGAGGGAGTGCCTTTCTCCTCTGTTGAAAGCCAAGTTAGTGAGGTGTTTTTTTTTCTTCTCACTTGTGTGCAGCCCCCAACTGATTTTCTGTGGCTCCCAACCCAAAAAAGGTTCCCCACCCCATTGTAATATTTGAATATAATAGATAATGCAAGCATATCTCAGGATCCTTAGAGAAGGTTATTTTATAGAAATGCGTTGTTTTAGATGACCGTATATAGTTGTTTTATAAACATACATTATCTCACCCATACCTCAGTGCCTTTCTTACACTGAATACTGCCACCCACAATCCCATATGGTATTTATAAAAAAAATAGTGTATTCAATATTTGTAACATAAAGAATCCTCAAGATGATTCCATTTATCTTCAGTGGAGAACTAGTGATGGACAAAGTTGTTGGGAAGTGATAGATTGAAACTGCAGACCAAACTTTGAAACAATGTAAAATATGTAATATTTATATAATAGTTTAGCCCAGGACATGTTTGGACAAGCAGACTGTCACTTTACTGCCAGCAGCTACCTGTGCCTGAGACCACATACATGAGCATTGAGAGATACATCATATAAATTCAAAGAATAAATAAAAGATAAGTCTCTTGTTTTACAAGGCATGCAGGTAAATCAAAGAAGTGTAATATCTTCTGTCTCATATCTTCTGTCTTAACACAGTAGATCATTTAAACAACCTTAATGATGATATTCCTTTTGAACGGAAGGAATTTATAAGTTTTCACCATTCTAGTTCTTTTTTCTGGTAGCAGTTGTCTGCCGTCCAGGTCTCTGAGATCTGTGCTTTTACAGTCTTCTATTTTTAGTTTTCCATAAAAAAACAAAACAGTTCTACGTATCGTCCAATCCACTGCTAACATATACTCTGCAGAATATGTGATTCAAGATATTGTACTCCTTTCTTCCCTTATATATCTTTCAATCTGGAAAGAATTACTTTTGTTTCTGTGCCATAGTTGTATTCAAATTTCATGACACAATTTCATGACTATGTGTTCTAGTAAGGTATGTCTACACAGCAGCGTTATTTCAAAATCACTGGTGTTATTCTGAAATAACATAGTGTGCTTCTACACTAGAAACCTTTATTTCAAAATAATGTTGCGCTGAAGGACTTCTTACTCTTATTCATGGTAACTCTCATTTTACAAGCAGTAAGGGAAGTCAAAGGGAGAGTATTCTTCCTTCGATTTCCTGCTATTTAGACAGCACCAAAAGCCGAAATATCTGTTTTAAATTAAACTCCACTGAAGTTGATGTAGCTGAAGTTGTGTAGCTTATTCTGACTTTAGCCCTGTTGTGGAGACTTACCTTAAATGGATTAGTGTGTGTGTGTGTGTTGCTGGGATAAAAGCCATTTAGGGCTTCTATGATCCCTCAGAGAACTGCCCCTCCCCAACTACGAAGCCGGTTAGTCTTCTCATGAACACATAAATATGAAGAAGCTGAGATGAAGTTTATAATGTTGAACCATAGAAATATTTATTTGGGATAGCTAGAACTACAGTTCAGAAATTGTATGCTTTAATACCAGCATTTGACTTAACAGATGATAATGCAGTGCTGTACTATCTGTAAAAGAGGGAAATAAATGTTTTTCAGACAGGTGTTTCTCTAAAAAGTCAAATGTGAGCAGAGCATGTGGTATTCTCACATCCTTAATGTTCTTTCCACATATTTCAAAACAACCATAAAAGAGCAGAGCAGAACATTCATAAATTGAATGGACGAATTGCTTTTAATTGATATTATATACTTTATCCAATATTAAATGTAAATTTATGGTTGAGATTTCACACACACAAGCTAGTAACTTCAGTTATGATTGTTTCTGTGCCATAGTTGTATTCAAATTTCATGACACAATTTCATGACTATGTGTTCTAGTAAGGTATGTCTACACAGCAGCGTTATTTCAAAATCACTGGTGTTATTCTGAAATAACATAGTGTGCTTCTACACTAGAAACCTTTATTTCAAAATAATGTTGCGCTGAAGGACTTCTTACTCTTATTCATGGTAACTCTCATTTTACAAGCAGTAAGGGAAGTCAAAGGGAGAGTATTCTTCCTTCGATTTCCTGCTATTTAGACAGCACCAAAAGCCGAAATATCTGTTTTAAATTAAACTCCACTGAAGTTGATGTAGCTGAAGTTGTGTAGCTTATTCTGACTTTAGCCCTGTTGTGGAGACTTACCTTAAATGGATTAGTGTGTGTGTGTGTGTTGCTGGGATAAAAGCCATTTAGGGCTTCTATGATCCCTCAGAGAACTGCCCCTCCCCAACTACGAAGCCGGTTAGTCTTCTCATGAACACATAAATATGAAGAAGCTGAGATGAAGTTTATAATGTTGAACCATAGAAATATTTATTTGGGATAGCTAGAACTACAGTTCAGAAATTGTATGCTTTAATACCAGCATTTGACTTAACAGATGATAATGCAGTGCTGTACTATCTGTAAAAGAGGGAAATAAATGTTTTTCAGACAGGTGTTTCTCTAAAAAGTCAAATGTGAGCAGAGCATGTGGTATTCTCACATCCTTAATGTTCTTTCCACATATTTCAAAACAACCATAAAAGAGCAGAGCAGAACATTCATAAATTGAATGGACGAATTGCTTTTAATTGATATTATATACTTTATCCAATATTAAATGTAAATTTATGGTTGAGATTTCACACACACAAGCTAGTAACTTCAGTTATGATTTCCACTTGAATATTTGTAATATTTAAAGATATGGCTCAACATATTGTAAGTTCAACTTCTTTGCATATGAAGTGTGTCCAGGTTACAATTGCTGTGGGGACTGTAGCTTTGAGTTTCCTGACTTTTCTGTATGCAACTTCTCACCATAAAATTGCACTAATGCAGTTTTATCCATATCATTTCCTTAGTTACTCAAAGAGAAAGAAAACTAGCAGGTGCCAATATTTGTGCCTGATTTTCTGATCAAACAGTCACCTGTGTATTCATCTCAAATGTCTCATGCTCTGTGTTTGTGCCCCTGAATGCCCTGTGTTGGACCTTTTCTAATGACTTTATGGATACACATATCTGCCTTTGCAAACAAAAATGTTTGGAGAAAATAAAACTATGACATATTTTGAATTGATATATTGTAGAACTGAATACTAACTAGAACTGAATACTAACTAAGTTTTCCAGCTCTGCATTCTGTGGTAAGCAGCTATGTCTA